TCACTTCTTCGCCATCCTTCTTCTCCAAAACAATGAAATCCATTATAAACTGCCAGCTCATGAGATACCTTGAGAATCACCAGCTGATTAGTGATCGCCAATACGGTTTTCGTCGTGGTCGATCAGCTGGTGATCTTCTGGTCTACCTGACTCATAGATGGGCGGCGGCAGTAGTCCGTTTAGAGTAGAGTTAGTTTGGACATTGCGAAGGCCTTCGATCGGGTTTGGTACAAAGCGATTCTTTCGAAGCTACCTTCCTATGGGCATCTCGAGAAATTGTGCAATTGGATCACCTGCTTTTGCAGACCGGAGCATCAAGGTCGTTGTAGACGGTGCAAGCTCCGATTACAAGCCTATTAATGCTGGTGTTCCTGTTAAGGCTACGTGCTATCACCAACGCTGTTTCTTCTGCATATCAATGATATGTTGCAAACCTGCATCATTCATTACTATGCAGATGACAGCACTGGTGATGCTCTGTACACCGGCCGTGCCAAAATTTCTCGGGAAAACGTCTCCGAGTACCGGGACAAACTTGTGTCTGAAGTCGAGTCTTTGCTGAACAAAGTCTCGGATTGGGGGCGACTAAATCTAGTCCAGTTTAACCCTCAGAAGACACGAGTTTACGCGTTAACCGCTAAAAAGAACCCCTTTGTCGTATCTCCTCAGTTTCAAGGAACTCCTCTTGTTGCCTCAGCCAGTATCGAAATCCTCGGCGTTGACTTGTCGAGTGACGTGCAGTTTCGTGGTCACTTGGAAGAGAAGGCCAAATTGGCCTCTAAAAAAGCTTGGCCTGCTCAGCACTGGACAGTATTTCATGCCGGCACACCGCCTGCAACTTTACAAGGCGCAGGTGCGGCCGCACATGGAATACTGTTCCCATCTCTGGGCTGGGGATCCCCAGTACCAGCTCCTTCCACTTGACCGCATCTAGCGCAGAGCGGCTCGAATCGTCGACGACGGAGTTCTTTCCGATCGGCTTGATTCACTGGTGCTGCAAAATATTTTATCGCATCTATCACAGTTTAATCCCAGCCGCCAAATTTCATGAACGCACTACGTACAAACCTCCCGATATTATCCACACCATCTGGATGCTTGGAGGTCCATCACGTTTCACTAGGAGTTTTATTCCGCGTACGACCTCTCTGTGAAATAATTTACCACCGGCAATTTTTCTGGACCGATACGACTTGGGGACCTTCAAAAAAAGAGCTTACTCCTTTCTAAAGGGCCTGCAACGCACCTGCAATTCCCTTCGTGTTGCGCTTATTCATGGGCTTTTTTTTTGCGGATGGAAAATCATCTAATGACGCCTTTCGCTCTGCATGGGAGCGTAAGGGAGTGTCAGACTTTTACTGACTAAAAACCATCCGTGTTCCTTCAGTGCCCTTACGTTCCGGAGCCGCGGTATCTCTTTCGAACAGCCCGCAGCCCCGGCAGGCGTCGGCCCTTGCGGGCCCCTTCACGCTGCTGACAGCTCTTTGAGGCGCGCGTGGAACAAAATGCGCCGTCGACACGGCCTGTCGTCGTTAGACGGACGGACGGCGAGCTACCCATTGCTCGCCGTCCACAGGCCCGCTTATTCATGGGCTGCGGTAGTCACTTAACATCAGTTGAACCGTATGCTCGTTTGCCCCCTTTTCTATGTAAAAAAAACTCCGGTGCATTTGAATTAGGTTAACGTGATAAGAATAGAATTTACTTACCAATGAAATGTTATACCATCTTTTTAATAACTGGGATGTCTTAGCTGACTTGCCACACCATTTCACTGCACAGGAAATCATTTGTAATGTATTTTGGATACAAGACTATTTTTAAATTGTCAAGAACTCGGATGTGCCTAAGGGTCACAAACTTGGTCTTATTCTATTAAGATGCTTAGCGTTACTTCGTATGCTAGCTACAGCAAGCATGTGTTGCGCGCGTTTGTGGCTCTGTATGCGGAATCTATTAGGGAGTAATCTGTGCCTGGGACACAGACCTTGACTAAAATGGATGTCAGTGTTATACAATTGTGTCTTGCCTATTAAATAGAATAATTTTAAAATTGATAATAAAGTCAGCAGGGATGGGAGATATGATAAGGATATTGAACGACGAGTGAATGCAGGAAATAAAGTAAATGGGGCTCTACACTCTATTGTGAAAAGTCAGAATGTGTCAAAAAAGGCAAGTATGGCAATTCACAATGCTGTATTAGTCCTTACTTTAACGTATGGTAGTGAAAGTTGGGTGTGGCAGAAGAAGCACAAGAGTATAATAAATGCAGTAGAAATGCGGTCGCTAAGGAGTATGTTAGGGCTGAATCTGAGTGACAGGGTGAGAAACTGTGTGATAAAAGAAGAGTGTGGTTTGCAAGATGATGCGGTGACCAGGATTATTAGAAAGGAATTCTTTGGTGGTTTGGTCATGTAGAAAGAATAAATGTGGAAAGACTGACAAAGCAAATATATGTTGCAGAAGTGAATGGAAGAGTCGGAAAGGGACGTCCTAAGCGGAAATTTGTCGACCAAATTGGCGATATATTAAAAATGGGCCAAATTAAGAGTACCCTTAACCAACGAGCATGTATGCGTAGGTATATGGATGTGGAAGAGGGGAGAGAGGTGTGTCAGGATCGTGCTAAATGGAAGTCTGTAGTCTCTGCCTACCCCTCTGGGTGACAGGCGTGAGTGTTTATGTATGTATTATGTATACTAAAGCGACGAAAATTTAAGTTATGACACACATTAATACCGTTGCCGTTTGATTGGCATGTGTTATTGGTGCAATGTTTATTAACATTAAAAGTCGAATATTTTGCAAACCAACTGCAAAATCACGATTTAAAAAAAATACCTGATAAATATCCATACAGTTGGCGTCTCGAGGCGAATTTATTTCTGGTACAATTGGCTTGGAAAGGTCTAGGTACCACTTCTACACTACTACTTCACACTGGGTAAAACTTCAGCTTATATTATGGTTATACTACGAATGGGTCGGCTCGACAGGGGTAGGACCACGTTTTCACAGAATACCAGCTTTAAATAGCAGCTCATTGCTGCTGTTTCGTATGATGAGTGTAGAGAACCGGAGACCCTTTTTTACTGGAAAGGATGCAGTCCATCTTAGTCCTCAGGGGTGGCAACGCATCAGCATTTTTAAACTTAATCGAGGATAAAAATATAGATGTCTATGGGCCACAGCATCCACTTACCATGTAGACTGTGTGCTCGTTTGTCAATTTTATTCCATAAAAAATATGTTGCTAATAAATAAAAAAAGGAAACGCATTGCGGAATCAATGCAAATAAATGAGGTATTTTATTTTTGTAGGATGGTGATGAATGGGGCAACGAAGATGGTACAGCGGCTGGTGAACTACACGACCAAGTAAAATCCGCTGAACAAGAGGAAATTGGCGACATGTTAGAACCTCCTACTAAGGTAATATTTTGTTTGTACTAAGTGTAGCTAAGTGACCAAATATCTTTTATTTTGCAACATAACAGCGAGTGACTGACCACTTGCCTTTTTCTTATAAAACTACATGACTAGTTCATAATATCATTTTAAAAACAAAAATGTAGAATAATGGGGTTCTTTTTTTTTTCATTATTTTGTTTTCATTTTACAGGTAGCAAAAATTTACATCCCATATGCAATGAGAGCGAAAAAAGTCGACATGAAACAATTAAAACACTGTACATGGAAAATTCTCACAAGTAACACACCAGAAGGAGAAAAAGAGGACGTGCAACAAACTACCTTCTTTTCAATTTATTCTCGACTACCAAATAAGCTATCGACCAATATGCGCGAATCTCTCAGTGTGCCATTAGCTTTACTTTCGGTCCTTCATTTAGCTAATGAAAAAGGACTTATATTAGAAAAACGTGAAGATCTCAAGGATATTGGTATTGTGGGTCTTATAAAGAAATAGGGCAATTACCCGTCGCATTACGCCGTATTCCCGTCGGGCCTCAAAAAATGCAAGTAATGCAGTATGGTTATAAAAATCTGTCCCTCTAGTAGGACACATATATTTTGATAAGTTTTATGAGTTTTCTGATTATTTTTTGCAGATATGCTGACCATACATTTTGTAAATATATTTAATACAACTTGCTCATTCATACCATGTCAATATTAAAAGATTTAATTTAACATTGTACAAACCTTTTAGTAAGATTTATACATGTAATATATTTTGTTTATGACAAATATATAATATAGTAAATGTGTGATTTTATTGAATTGCAAGTAATAATATGTATCATACACACTTACAAGACGTAATAAAAAGCTTGAAGTCTTTGTCAATATTTATTTTCTGCAACAAATAAACCTTTTGCAAACTTAACTATTATGACAATGTTAAAGAATGTTGAACAATATTTTAATTTGTTGAATTTTAATTGAGAACAATAACTTAATATTTGCATATAAATGCTACTTTCTGTCATTGTTGAAGTAGCTATTTGAAATAAATCAAAGTGTACAACTATAAACGTAAAAATAAAAAAAAAATTAATTACACAAGTTGTAGCCGCCAAATACTGAAATAATGTAGTGAAGTTATACATTATCTGATTCTTTTTAATATAAACACAAAATGAGTATTCACGAGTAGTGACTTAAGTAATACACACATCTCAAAAATAACCTGGAAGAACAGTCATTATTTTTTCCTATAACACAAAAGACTAGGGACAAAGAAGAAAATAACAACATGTACATTTTTTGTAATATTCCTATAAGTGGCTTGTTCATCATGATCTTCAACCATATAGGTTACTGAAAAAAAGAATCACAATCGTCAATGCAAGAGGCAGTTCAAAAATCATACAGGTAAAATAATGTCAAAACGAATGCAAAACCAGAAACCACAAAATTATTCAGTCCACGTTAAGCATCCTCCACAAAAGTCACAGTTAAAAAGATCATTGCATTGCAAAAGTGTAGAGGTAACATTATTACAGTTATATAACAAAAATATTTTAACTTTTACACTATTTAACCTCCTCTTTCGTTTCTATACTCTCAGCTAGTTTTTCACTTGTGTCGATTTGTTTCATGGGGGAAGCAGCTTTGTTAGTATCTTCACTGGTACATGCTATAACTATGGTATTTGAATCTTTAAGAGATTCGTCTCTGTCTGGTGATTTTGAAGTTCCATTAGATATTTCAATGGCATCATTGTTTACTTTTTTTTCAGGTGATATTTCAAGGGTATCATCGTATACTTCTTTATCAGGTAATTTTTCAAGGGTATGATCGTTTACTTCTTTTTCAGATGATATTTCAAGGCTATCATCGTTTACTTTTTTTTCAGATGATATTTCAAGGGTATCGTCGTATACTTCCTTATCAGATGTTTTTTCAGGGGTATGATCGTTTACTTCTTTATCAGATGATTTTTCAGGGGTATGATCGTTTACTTCTTTTCCAGATGATATTTCAAGGCTATCATCGTTTACTTTTTTTTCAGGTGATATTTCAAGGGTATCATCGTATACTTCTTTATCAGGTGATTTTTCAAGGATATGATCGTTTACTTCTTTTTCTTATTTCAAGGGTATCATCTATACTATAGGTGATATTTCAAGGGTATGATGGTTTGCTTCTTTTTCAGATGATATTTCAAGGGTATCATCGTTTACCTTTTTTTCAGGTGATATTTCAAGGGCATCATCGTTTACCTTTTTTTCAGGTGATATTTCAAGGGTATCATCATTTACTTCTCTTTCAGGTAATATTTCAAGGATATCATCGTTTACTTCTTTTTCAGGTGAAGAAGTTTGGTCTAGCACTACTTCACTTTTAATTATTTCTTCTGCACCCTTTTCAGCTTCAAATGATTGGTTTTCTATAACTGTATGATTACTATCTAAACTTACGTCGAGGTCTTGCTGAGATTTATTTAATTCTTCAGAAGCGTCTACAACGTTATCACTTTGTTCAGCTACATTAATGACTTCATCTACAATATTACTGCTTTCTTTTATATCAGTGACTATAGTTTCATTTTCAATTTCTTGAGTTGCTTCGCTATTGATGTTTTCTAAACTTTCAGTTTCTGTCTTCTCTTTTATTGATTCACTATCTGATGTTATAATAGAACAAACATCTTTGCCATCTAGTAACAGTTTAACAAGAGTTGGCTCTTTTAAACTGTCTAAGAATTCTATTTGGAATGTTATTGATTCATCAGCAGCTAATTCATCCAGTTTTGTTTTGGCATCCTCATAAGATACATTAGAATCGCAAATTCCAGCCAGACGGCAACACTTAGCTAGAGGTTCTATTACACTAAGATGTTCAGGCAGTTGCTTAAATTCTTCACACTTAGCTTTGTTACCATAATCTATGAACTGTACATGATAACCTACATCACAAAATTCTAAAATTCTGGCCCTGTACCACTGTTCATCTTCTGTCCAAAATGCGGCGCACAGTGATCCTACTTTCAAATCAGAAACTTGTTCAAACTGTGGACATTCGCACAACTCTTCTGTTATCTTTTCTAGGGTAGCTGCTGATTCATCAAGATGAACGTAAAATTCGTCTAAGGAATTCACATAGCATATTTTACCACTAGTATGCAAGTCTTGTCCCACAGGTGTTGGCCTCTCTGCTATCGAATGTTCTTCACACAACCCAACAAGTTCTTCAGTTACCGATTTACCTTCTAAATAAAGTTCTACAATTGAAATATCACCAGCAGCAATAAATTGTACATTAAAAATAGTTGCTCCCTCTGCAGCAAGCTCGTTAAACTTTATTTCGGATTTGCGCGACCATGATTTAATGTCTCGAGGTTTTTGCAATGCACATTTCCTTGAAAGCGCCGGTTTTACTTTAAGTTCGTCGGGAAGACTGCGCAATTCATTTGCAATTGACGCATTTCCATAATCCATGAACAGCACTTCTGTTCCTTCTGATCCATCTACGATGACTTGTGCTCTGTACCACGCGCCGTCTTCAGGATACTTTGCTGCACAAATAACACCTTCTTCTTTGTCGCTTAGTTCTGGGAAATTTTCGGCGTCGACCATAAGTGCTTCCATAGCTTGCAGTTCAGGCGTGGCTGTTTCTAACTGAATCCAAAACTCCGAGGGGGAATTCACGTGACTGGCAAAACATGAGGGCAGATCGCCACATTCCGTTTCTTCTGACCTTGTGGCATGACCTTCTGATACTAATTTGTCAGTGAGATTTTCGCCATTCACGAAAATGTCTACATACGTCATAATGTCTTTAAGCACAATAAGTGCATCGACTGGAACAGTTATATCGCCTACAAGTTGAGTGAAATAATCAGAAGCCGGTTCTGACCATTGGCCTGTGCCTGTTGGTATAGCATTGACACTAGACTTAATAGCCAAGCGCTCAATTTCCTTTAAATGTTCTGGTATCTCTTTTATTAAACCAGGCTGGTTATCTAACACATCTGTGTTGCCATAGTCAATAAAGCGAACCGTTATGATGTCGGAGTCGGCATCAAGAATTTCAGCGCGGTACCACTGATCATCGGCTAAATATTTAGCAACACATAATGTGCCCATCTCACGATTTTCAATGTCTTTATAAGAGTCAGCATTCTCTTGAAGCTCTGCTTGTATTTTTTCTATATCATCTACTTTGTCGACCATCTGTAACCAGAAATGTCCAGGTGTATCAATGTGGCTAATATACACTTGGGTACAACCATCAGGTAATGAAATGGGTTTTTCAGGCATCGTTTCTATCTTCTGCTCTTCGGTTGAAATTATTTGGGGTGTTGCCAATTTTTCATTGACTAATTTCATTGACAAGTCTACGCCATCCAGATGCAAGCTAGCAAGCCACCCATCATTACCAAAGGCAAGAGTGACTTGAACCTCTTTATCATTAGTCCATTCAGTTAGTTTTTGAAGGGTGTCATCCTGCAAAGCTACAAGGCCTAGACTGGCCACAAGAGCTAAAGAACATGGCTCATAGAATTTGGCATCAAGTTTTTTGAGCTCAGTTTTTTGTAACGTTTCCGTGTTCCCGTAATCAGTGAACTGAACTTTTACTTCTTCATTTTCTAAGCTGATTATACTGGCTCGATACCAGTTACCATCCGATGACTTAGCCGCACATAAGCTGTCCGCTTCAAATTCCGTAAGTGCTTCGGGTGTTCCTGTGAATAAAAAAAGGTAATTTGTTATTGTTTGTTAATTAATTTGCCGATACTTATACTATTACAAGAAATGATGACGCTTTCAAAATAAGCTTTTTAAAATAGCGATTGGCGCGATTCGAGTGATTCACTCGTGTAAGTCTAGATACTCTGACAAAAAATTTTGGGCTGTTTTTCTGTAAATACTAGTAATTCTGTGGAATCCCCAGACTGGACGAATACCATAATTTAGCCGTGTGTTTGGTTAGTATTCGCTTGATCGGAGGGCAAACGAGGCAGATTGATGAAAGAGAAAATGAGACACAAATATTTTTTACGTAGTAGAAACAAGTCGCTGGGTATATGGCTACATACGGATGGGTCGGCTTGACATGGTGAGGGTCATGCTCCCACAGAAATGTAGCATAATATAGTAGTGTTCCATGTGGTGAGTAACACACGAGACCCTTTTTACTGGTAAATAGACATTCCATCTTAGTATATGATATAATAAAAATTATGATTAGCTTGAAATGAGAATAAAATAAAAGTGATGTTGCAGTATATCTCTTTTGAACCATCTGGAATGTACTTATTGCGGGAAAACAAAATCATTTTATAAAAATTGAACATGGGGACAAAAGATGTTTGCAGACAGAAGAACGAATCATAAATGACTCAATAAAAAGTCAAAGATGACACTAAATTATTAATTAAATGTGTATCTTTCAGCGATGCCATAACGAAGCCTTGAAATAAAAAGGCTTATTTTTAAGGTCATTTTTTATAGGATAGGGTGACAAATGAGCACACAGTCCATCTAATGGTAAGTGGTTGCTGTGGCCCATAGACATCTACATCTATCCTCGATTACGAATCAAAATGCAGATGGGTTGTCACCCCTGAGGACTAAGATGGAATGCCTCGCTTCCAGTAAAAAGGGTCTGCGGTTCTCTACATTCACCATACGAAACACAGCAGCATTAAGCTAATATTTGACGCTGGTATTCTGTGAAATTGTGGTCCTTCCCCGGTCGAGCTGACCCATTCGTGCTACAACTATACTACTAATATAACCGCAGCATGGCTCTACCACGAATAAAATATATGTTGGCACATGTTAAAAATGTGTTTTTATTTTTTTTATTTATAAAAAATATTAAAGAGCTCAAGTGCTAGCACCCGTTTTGGGCGGTGCCCATCGCAACAATTCGAGGTTATAAGTTTGTTTTAAAATTCTCCCCATTTTAATGCTTTTCGCATCGATAATTGCTGGGAGTGAGGTAAGGTTTTCATATCAACGCACCGTGTACAATACAGCCCTAATATGTAAATTTTCAAAACGCCAATTACACCTTTACTCTGTGCATCCTGCTACCGACAGACAAAGTTTTAGCCCATTAATTGATGAAATAATCAGCCTAAATTCCACAGATTCGTGATTAGGACTAAACGAGGCTACACTTTTCTAAATCCAAAATGGGAAAGGCACATAAGCGGCGGTTATCACTTACAATCACGTGAGCCCAGTGTTTTCCTCCGCTGTAACTGTAACTGTAAGTGTCTCCTAATAAATGTAAAGACAAATCGAACTCTAAATGTAAAAAAAAAAACTAAATAATGATCTTCATATGTTGAGTAGGAAATATAACAACTGTACATTTATTGACATGAACAAATATAAACATATGTAGCAGCCAGATTAATCAAACCTAAACGGGAATAAATAATATATACTCCGCTGCTACCATAACGCGGAAGGCGAGAATAAATAAAAAAAACATTTTATTTCCTAATTATTCTTGGCTACTGGGATACTGCGGACTGTATATAGATAATTTGACGTTCTTATAAAGAAACAAGAAGCAGCCGCAAATATCATTCAGCGCCACACCGACTTCACACGCCGCTATCGTCACGTATCCGTCGACCAATGGTGAGCCGTTTCTTCAACGCCGCAGTTCGTTTCCTCTTGCTGTTCCGGAGCTGTATTCCACACCGCCGCCGCCCGCCGACTACGCGTGCGCACCGATCTGCATGTCTTATATAGCCCGGTCCAGCGACGTAGCTTCGTGAACAACAAACAAGTCTCACGCCGGGAAACGAAACGTAGATAATTGTATATTTTAAATAGTTTTCATTGGTCATAAAATAAGCAATATAATTGGCTAGGCGAAATATTAATTGTTACCATTGGCAAATCAATAGTGAGCCAGCCATATAAATATAGGCAAGGTTGATGCAAAAGATATTCCATTCCGAATCCCATTCGACAGTACATTCATAAACATAAACAGTAGTTTCATTTCTCCACCTTAAAGGAAACCACTCGGAGTCTGTTAATAGTGGACAGTTCGTCTCCACTATTACACATAATAATTTTAACACATTTACAAAAGCTGACATTCAAAATAAATATCGAAATTGATTACATAAAATATAAGAATGAATTCATTAATTTAAAGAAAATAATTAAGACACATTCTAAAAATGAAAATTCCAACAATCCCTTGCCTAATGTTACTTTAAATAATGTACTTAATGAGACACTTCATTCGCATCCTGAGACATCAAAAAACCATGAAATAAAAGAAACAAACGACCCCCAAATAACACCACAGAGAATTCACCCTAACAACAATGACTTGTATAGGGAAGAATGAGAATGGTAAAAGTCTCCTCACCGTATGTATGGAAAAGAATCTCTTTGTGACGAACACTTACTTTCGCCACAAGAGGATTCACATGTATACTTGGGAAAGAGGTGACGATAGAAGCATGATAGATTTCATAATTGTGGATGAAAGATTGGGGGGGGGGGGGGGGGCACTGGTAGATACAAGGGTTTACCGGGGTTCTAACGTATAAACGGATCATTATTTGGTTTTATGCCGAATTAATGGTCTATTCAGGCGCTGGCGCCATCGGTCATCTGTGTCTACCACTGCGTTACAGCGTATTAGAACAGAAAGATTACAAGATGAAGGTGAGAAAAACAAGTTCAAATGTAGACTGAAAGAAAATATAAGTGGTTTGGATGAATTATGTATGAAGGAGTTAGACTTGAAGAATGTATGGCAAAATGTAAAGGTTTAGTGGATGCAGCTACCGAAGTATGTGGTGTTAGTAAGAGAAAGAATGAAAGGAAAAATAATACGTTACGGTGGGATGATGAGATACGTATGGAAGTTGAAGCAAAGAAGAGAGCATGGCTAGATTTACTAGCAACAAAGGCTGGTAATTCTAGCGGTACAAATGACGATATTGAAAGAAAAAAGGCAGTCTTTAGACATCTTAATAAGAGAGTAAAAGAAGTAGTTGAAAGAAAAAAGCAAGAAAGAACGGATAAGAATGATAGAAGAATATCGGATAATTTCCAGGCAAATATTAAAATGTTCTGGAAACTTGTAAGAACTGCCAGGGGATATTCAAAACAGCCTATGATGAATGCTACAAGAGACGAGAATGGCTATATTCTGAATGATGAAGTTTTGAGTTTAAAGAGATGGAAGGAATATTTTGAAAGCGTGTTTATGAGTGAGGAGACAACGTGTGTACTAAGTGAAGTAGAAACTCCGAAAAAAGAGGAAAGAGGTAGCGAGTTAAGTATAGATGAAATAATGAAAGCAATGAAAAGCATGAAAGCAGGTAAGGCTGCCGGATATGATAGAGTTTCACTCGAAATGCTAAGGGCTGGAGAGGAAGTGGTGGCAGGCCTGCTGCACACCTTGTTTAATTTATGCTGGGAACTGAAGCGGGTACCGGTAGACTGGTGCAAAGCCGTGATAGTCCCAGTATATAAAGGAAAAGGGTCGCAGCAGGACTGTAAAAACTACCGTGGCATCAGCCTTCTTAGCATTGTGGGAAAACTGTATGCTAAAGTACTGATTGAAAGGGAATGGGATGTACAGATCAAGTCTTTTCCATGCGCATGATCGCGGAGAAGTTTTTGGCCAAAAACCAAAAGGTTTTTTGTGCGTTCATGGACTTGGAAAAGGCCTATGACAGAGTTGATAGGGATGTGCTATGGCAAACACTGAAATCATTTGGGTTGAGCGCAGGTTTGATACATTGGAGCATTGGATTGAGGCATTGGAGTCTCTTTATAGGGACTCTAGTGCTTGTGTTAGGATCAACGGGGTCTACTCGGACTGGTTTGACATCCATAAAGGTGTCAGACAGGGCTGTGCGGCTTCCCCGTGGCTGTTCAACCTATTTATGGACAGTTGTTTGCAAAATTTGAAAGTTAAAGCGGGTTAAGAATGGATGAGTTAACCGTCAAATGCCTTTTGTACGCCGATGATCAAATTATCCTTGCGTCGTCGGCGGCCGAGTTGTAAATGATGGTTACATTAATGAACAGATCATTAAAAGAAAGGGGTATGAAAGTGAACGCAAGTAAGACGAAGGTTATGGTGTTTGAAAGAGAAGAAAGTAAAACGATTTGTGAAATAAGAATAGAAGGGGAGTTGATCGAGCAAGTAGACGAGTTTGTATATCTGGGCTGTGTATTTAGCAGGGATGGGAGATATGATAAGGATATAGAACGACAAGTGAATGCGGGAAATAGAGTAAATGGGGCCCTACACTCTATTGTGAAGAGTCAAAATGTGTCGAAAAAGGCAAAGAAATGTGCCTTTTTTGACACATTCTGACTTTTCACAATAGAGTGTAGAGCCCCATTTACTTTATTTCCTGCATTCACTCGTCGTTCAATATCCTTATCATATCTCCCATCCCTGCTGAATACACATCCCAAATATACGAACTCATCCACTTGCTCAATTAACTCTCCTTCTATTCTTATTTCACATAACGTTTTGCTTTCTTTTCTTTCAAAAACCATCACTTTCGTCTTACTTGCGTTCACTTTCATTCCCCTTTCTTTTAATGACCTGTTCATTAATGTAACCATCATTTGCAACTCGGCCGCCGACGACGCAAGTATGACTTGATCATCGGCGTACAAAAGGCATTTGATGGTTAACTCACCCATTCTTAACCCGCATTCTTCAACTTTAAAATTTTCCAAACAGCTGTCCATAAATAGGTTGAACAGCCACGGGGAAGCTACACAGCCCTGTCTGACACCTTTATGGATGCCAAACCAGTCCGAGTAGACCCCGTTGATTCTAACACAAGCACTCGAGTCCCTATACAGAGACTTTAATGCCTGTATCAAACCAGCGCTCAACCTAAATGCGTTCAGCGTTTGCCATAACACATCCCTGTCCACTCATAAGCCTTTTCCAAGTCCATAAACGCACAAAAAACTTTTTGGTTTTTCGCCAAAAACTTCTCCGCGATCATGCGCATGGAAAAGACTTGATCTGTACACCCCATTCCCTTTCTAAATCCCGCTTGCACATCCCAAATTTTTTCATCAGTTTCTTTCATAACTCTTTCAATTAGTACCTTAGCATACAGTTTTCCCACAATGCTAAGAAGGCTGATACCACGGTAGTTTTTACAGTCCTGCTGGGACCCTTTTCCCTTATATATTGGGACTATCACGGCTTTGCACCAGTCTCCCGGTACCCGCTTTAGTTCCCAACATAAATTAAACAAGGTGTACAGCAGGCCTGATACCACGTCCTCTCCAGCCCTTAGCATTTCGAGTGAAACTCTATACTTTCATGCTTTTCATTGCTTTCATTATTTCATCTATACTTATCTCCCTATCTCTTTCATCTTCTTTCGGAATTTCTATTTCATTTAGTTCACACTTCTCACTCATAAATACGCTTTCAAAATATTCCTTCCATCGCTTTAGACTCAACACTTCACTATTCAGGATACAGCCAATCTCGTCTCGTATCGCATTCAATCTAGGCTGTTTTGATAGTCCCCTGGTATTTCTTACGAGTTTCCAGAACATTTTAATATTTGCCTGGAAGTTATCCGATATTCTTCTATCATTCTTATCCATTCTTTCTTGCTTTTTCCTTTCAACTAATTCTTTTACTCTCTTATTTAGACGTTTAAACTCTGCCTTTTTTCTTTCATTGTCATCATTCTTACCGCCAGAATTACCAGCTTTGGTCGCTAGTAAATCTAGCCATGCTCTCTTCTTTGCTTCAACTTCCATACGTACCTCATCATCCCACCATAACGTATTGTCTTTCCCTTCATTCGTTCTCTTACTAACACCACACACTTCGGTAGCTGCATCCACTAAACCAGAGTTCCCCAAACTTTTTTGTGTCGTAGACCCCTTGCCATGTTTTTCCGTGTTGGGTAGACCCCCTACTTACCTGATATTGATTTCCTGTAAATTTCTAACTGTAGTGAAGTTTAGTGTTAAAAACTTAAAGTAAAAACACATGTTAATTTATACATTTATCAATTGAATTTAAATTAAAACTACTCAAAATAAAATTTTGTATCTGTTATGTAAAATATACGTAACATTAAATAAATATAAAATAAACCGTAAATCTTTTATAAATAATGTATATGTATTGATATTATAAGATAGTATGATGTAAGTATATAGGTACTATCAGTGTGTGTGTTGAGATCCACTATCGTGGACCCCCATTTTCATTTCATGGACCCCCAAATTTTTTCATGGACCCCCAAATTTTTTTTCGCTGGCGTAGACCCCTTGCAGGTTGTCATAGACCCCTAGGGGACGATATAGACCACTTTGGGAATCACTGCACTAAACCTTTCTTAACATTATGCCACACATTCTCCAAGTCTAACTCATTCACACACAACTCATCCAAATTACTTATATTTTCTCTCAGTCTGCATTTGTACTTGTCTTTCACATCTACATCTTGTAATCTCTCAATTCTTATACGCTGTAACGCAGTGGTAGACACAGATGTCCTATGCCACCAACGTCTGAATAAACCCCTAATTCGGCATAAGACCAGGTAGTGGTCCGTTCCTACGTTGGACCCCCGGTAAACCCTTGTATCCACCACTGCGCTCCTCATTCTTTCATCCACAGTTATGAAATCTATCATGCTTCTATCATCACCTCTTTCCAAGTATACATGTGAATCTTCTTATGACGAAAGAAAGTATTTGTCACAAAAAGATTCCTTTCCACACATACGGTGAGGAGGCTTTCACCATTCTCATTAATACTTTCATCACCAAACATTCCCAGTATCCTTTCAAAGCCAAGCCTCCTTACCCCAACCCTTCCATTAAAATCTCCTAACATAACAATATTTTCATTTTCCTTACATTTCATTAACACCATCCTTACCATCTCCCAAAACTGCTCTCGGATACAAGTGGGCTTAGATATGTCTGGGGCGTAGACCCCTAGAACAAACAACTTCCTTTAGGCCCACTTTTATTCGTATCCATAGCAGTCTCGGGCTTACACATTCATACTCTTTCACACATTGACCCATTCTTTCTGAAAGGATGATACCGACTTCCCTGGCATGCTCGCTCGGTCTCGTCTACACCGGACCAGTAAGCGGTATATATGCCATGTGTAGTGACATCCTTTCCCTTCCGCTTCGTCTCATTTACACATAACACATCTATTCCTCTATCATACATCATATCGCATACTTCATCCACCTTATCATTCATTGCTCCACATACATTCAGCGTAGCTAGACGGGCCTCCGCAATCCTCTTTTCACCCCTCCGGGAGACAGAACGTGACGGGTGGCGAACCTCGTCGCCGGTTTTCCTCCTGGAGATTCTTCGCACCCCTGCCCCATTAAAGGGGCGCCGGGAACTCGGGGCCATTTCTTTTCCTTTTTGCTTCATGGTGCGAAAACTGTAATGTGGTATATTTTACCTCGCTACCACACGGCGAGTAGCCGAGTCTGTTCTTTCGGCTTTGTCGCTCTTTTAGCACCACCCGGGGGAAACGTCTAGGGTGGGCCTAGGGTTATGTGGTCGAAGCCTACGGACGCGAGCGACTTATCCCCCTAGCTTTTATGTGTTTACTTTATTTTATGACTTGAATAATTTGACATAAAATATTATACAAGTTATAAATGATGACATGTAATGTTCTGTCTGTGACTCATGTTTACCATTTTCTATGAAAAATAATAATCTGAATAGCATACCTTCCTCATAGAACTTGTATAATTCTTCTAGCAACAAAGCAATTTTATCGCTGTCTGACGACCTCTGTAGGTAAAACTCGTTCAGGTTCTCTAAATGAGAAATATACGCCATGCCGAAGTTGTAATTGAAGACGGCTCTTGTGCACAGTGGAACCACTTCATCATATGCGCCTTCGTCAGGCTCGAAGATAGCGATTTTTTTACCGGTCTCGCGATCGTACAATGTTGTTACTAACCTAAAACCAAATAAATTTAGATAATATGTAAAGTGCGTTTATATTATTATTTGAAATTAAAAAAATGATAAATCGATAAATAACTTTGAAAAATATTGTTTTTACAGGATAGGGGCGATAAAAAAGCATACAGTTCACCTGGTGGTAAGTAAATACTGTGGTCCATAGGCATCTATCCTTGATTAAGAATTAAAATGTAGATGCGTTGTCACCTTTGAGGACTAAGATTGAATGCCCAATTAGTAGCTAAGTGTTTCAGGTTCTCCACACTCTCCATACATAATAGCATTAAGCTGCTATTTGATGCTGGTTTTCTGTGAAAGTGTGGTCCTTCCCTGGTCGAGCCAACCCTGACCATGTTGATAAATCAAACTATATCAAGGCCTCATTACATTTATTTTTTATGTATAGCAAAAACTGATGGGGCAGTGGTGTATTAAGGGCTGATGAATATATACAAATTATATAAAATGATATTGCAACAACCACTGTTGAAAATGCATATTATATGATACATGGTTACTGGTAATTTTTTCACTTCCTGCAAGGGTGTAGTGGTAGACATGAAAGCAAACTGATGATTCTTAAATTCTTTAACGATTACGGCTATGGTCTTGAAATTTAGTATTTATCACAGACGTAGATCTACCTAAACATGTAAATAACGCAAATACACCTGCTTCGCGTGTCCAGATTAGGTTGAAAACTCGTACTCTTTGCCGCTCTTACATTTCAAATCGCTCCCGAACGTTATCATAGCCATTAGCAATGGAAAAAATACCACTGGTAAATCATTTTCTTATCAGAAAATCGTAACTTATTTTTTCTTAACAAAGTTTCAAATTTTTTTTTTTGAATTGTTTCTTCACACTGACTCGAATCTATTTAAAAACCGTTTTTTATTTCAAACAACAATCGCCAATCATAATGTGGCGTGTTTTCTTAATAGACAATTAATATTGAACGAGTGATACTTTTGCAAATCACTTAAACACTGTGTGTACTGTGGCATTTAAGTGATGCTCACTCTAAATGTTCTCAATTCTAATCAACTTTTGAAACTTACAAAATACTATTAAAATATTCTATAATTATCTTTTGCCTTTAGTTTGCTACAAGATACATATTTAACAAAGAACAATGGATTGAGGCGTCGGGAAATAAAGGTGGGTTCCCAATAATTAACAAATCCAGTTACTCGACTCCACAGTCAGTAATTCATTCATGGGGCACAGTAATTTTCAACAAAATCCTGGAAAATAAACAAGCTCTCTATTACGAGGGCTGCACTAAATGTATCGGGAATGGAATATTTCCACTGTTCCTGTCATATTAAAATCTTTTTAATTGAAAACTCCTTGGTTTTAAAAATCGAATACCATTTATTTATTTAAAACAGATTCTCGGTCTTGTCACAAGGTTTTATCAAACTTATTTAATCGTTGAGAAAATGGAATTGACTCGAGAAAATTCAAGAGCGATGATATTATGACTTTCGAAGTGGTTTAACACAAAAACAGTGTGTTGACCGGATGATTTCTGCATTTGGTGATGAAGCCCCATCCAAAACCACAATTTATCGCTGGTTTGCTGAATTTCAACGTGGACGTGTCAAGCTCAGTGATGATACCCGTCAATGTCGTCCAAAAACTGCAGTCACCCAAGAAAATGCTGTGCGTAAGCTGATTGAGGAAGATCGATATGTAACATACCGCGAAATTTCAGGCAACTTTAAATAATTAGGTGTAAAAAAGTTGTTTTCCCGATGGATACCGCATTCGCTCTGTGAAGAGCAAAAAGCGGCTCGCGTTACTTGGTGCGTCAGAACTCTCGAAAGATTCCACGCAGGATCCTCAAATGCTGTATACAACATCGTATCAGGTGACGAATCCTGGATATACGCGTACGAACCCGAAACAAAAAAACCAGTCACGAGTTTGGGTGCTCGAAAATGAGTTAAAGCCAACAAAAATTGTTCGTTCGCGGAGTGTTGCAAAAAAAATGGTGGCCACGTTTGTCTCCAAAACCGGCCATGTTACGACTATTCTTCTTGAGGGACAAAGAACGGTTAATGCAGAATGGTATGCTAGCATTTGTTTGCCACAGGTCGTTTCTGAACTCCGTAAAGAGAACTGCAACCGCCGCCACGACAATGCGAGTTCTCACACCGCACACAGAACAAAAGAGTTTTTAGAGCAAGAAAACATAGAAATACCTAAGCCTAAGCCCTAATGATTTTTATACTTTCCCTAAAATAAAGAATAAATTGAGTGGACAGAGATTTTCATCAACTGAAGAAGCTGTGGACGCCTACAAAACGGCCATTTGGAGAGCCCAACTTCCGAATGGAATGGTTGCTTCAATGATTGGTTGTCGTGAAGCGACAGTTAAAAACTAAAGAACCTAACCTAACAACAACGAAACAACCAAAAAAAATAATTTATTTAAAATTTTAAAAGATATTTACAGTTTTTATATATAAAAAAATAATATATGAAAATGATGATGGGGTTTCAAACTAGAAGCATCACGGAGTATGCACAGGCTATGCCTGTGGTAGGTGAGCAGCGCCTGATCTAGGCAGACGCAGCGTCTGGAGTAGGCACACGCAGCGCTAGAAGTAGGCACACACAGTGTCTGGAGTAGGCACACGCAGCGCTAGAAGTAGGCACACACAGTGTCTGGAGTAGGTACACGCAGCGTCTGGAGCAGGTACACGCAGCGCTTGAAGTAGGCAAACACAGCGCCCGGAGTAGGCACACACAGCGCTCAGTAGCGCCCGGAGTAGGCACACACAGCGCCCGGAGTAGGCACACACAGCGCTCGGAGTAGGCACACACAGCGCCCGGAGTAGGCACACGCAGCGTCCGGAGTAGGTACACGCAGCGTCTGGAGCAGGTGGAGGCGTAGGCGTGGCTAGTCGACGACTTCAGGTGAAGGCAGAGGCTTGCAGGATTCCGGGGCAGTGCGGATAAGTTCTTTAGGAGATGCTTCTAGTATGAAAGCTGAAGCGAGACTTCCTTTATTGGCCGATTGTTCGGCTTTTATACTTTTTTAGAGAGCTCCGCGTTCAACGACGGATTTGTGAAAAGAACGGGAAATTATTTAAATTAAAAGCAAATTTTTGTAAATGGCCAAGAAGAAAAGAGTATTTTTGTGGAAGTTTTGAAGTAAAAACATCAGACCGGTAACGAATTCGAATAAAAATTGCCATGACAACCAGATAAACAACGATGTCAAAACATGTCAAATTTTGGTTTTAGGCTCGCAATAGAGAAACGGCAAGATTTAAGTGAAAAATGAGATATTATTGATATAGGAAAAAAGGTAGCGCAACAGTGCGCACGAAGCCCGAAATTGCAGAGTTACGGAGAACTAAATAAAAGACCGAAAAAGGTAGACTCCATTGACACCGATTTAAAAAGTGCTGATAACGTGAATATACGATGTGAAAATGATTTGTTATTATGTTCTTATGGTTTAAAAAACGTTACAGGATCCTATGGAAATAAAGGTGATGTAAAATATCCAGTTTTGAGGTGAATACAGAAAATCAAAACAAAATGGAAAAATAAATTTAAAATAGTGTAAAATTATATATAAGTAGCATAACACTACATGGTTCCATCGTATGGAAAAATGTGTCAAATTTCGCGAAGAATACTCCGAAAAGCAATAAATACATTTTTAAATAGTAATGTTGTGTCACTTCCTTGATTCCCGAAATTTTCAGTGCCGCCCTCGTACCAAGTTTAAATTTTTTATGGGGTATACAAGGGTTATTATAACCCCTGAGAATGAGATGGTCCCCTCCTCAATTTCATTCCCCATTTCATTTCTTAAATTACTTTTACAGTAATTATACAGCATTATTCTCATTGAATAACTTTAGAAAAATCCCGCTTGGTTTTTTGCTGTTTCTTACCGAGAGAAGTTTTTCCGAACCGGTACTGGTACAAGTAAAAAAAGAAAGCAATAAGAATTATTTGTAAACTTTTTGAATAAAAAATAGTCTACTAAATTCTAATCTCAAAATTGATATAGGAATCGATTCACACAAATCAATATTTGACTACTAGGACTTAAACATTTAGCATGTATTTAAACAATGTGCGCCTGAGTTGTAGCCTGTTCTAAAGCACCTGTACTGCCTCTCTCTTAAAACTCGAACGATGTCAAAATCTTGGATGATTGCCAATGTGCAACCAGTACCCAAGAAGGGTAGTTGTGCCGATCCCCATAATTATCGACCAATCGCCATTACCTCCATACTGCTGACAGTACGCTGCTGACATACCTTGAAGAAATGACCTCTTCAGTAACTATCAATATAGCTTCCGCCGTCGACGGTCTACTGGGGATCTTCTTGTGTATGTCACGCACTTCTGGAGCGAGGCCATCGAGAAGAACGGCGATGCTCTCGCAGTTTCACTCGATATCTCGAAAGCTTTTGACAGGGTTTAGCACACAAGTCTGCATAGTAAGCTTCCTGCTTACGGCATCCCGCCTAAATTTGGAACTGGATATCTGACTTTCTGAGTGAACGGTCGATCATGGTAGTCATAGATGGCTGTTCTTCTGACTTAATGCATATTAATGCCGGAACTCCTCAGAGGTTTATGTCCAGTGGAAAAGAAGGAGGGGCGGTAGTAATACATTCACTTAGAGAGGCCATGGTAGAGCGGATAAATGCGACTTTCTTCTCTCCCAATGGGGTGACGACAATCTGGTCACTTTGAGCGCCGCCAAAACGCAGGCCTGTCTGTTCTCCGCAAAACGGAATCTGTTTGATATGACGCCTACTTTCCGAGGTACATCTGTAGAGGTGACTGATCATCTTGAGCTTCTCGGCATACAGTTGAGTGCTAACCTCAACTTTGGCGCTAACTTTGAATCGAAAGCACAAACTGCGGTTAAAAAACTGGGTGTTTTAAACAAGATACTTCACATCTAGACTAACACAGCTTCTAATTTTACGTAAAGCTTAAGTCAGAACAAGCATGGAGTATTGTAGTCAGCTTTGGGATGGCTCAACAAAACATTAACATGCCGCACTCGACTCAGTACAACGCAGAGCCAAGAGGCTTATCGGCCACCAAAAGCTGGTGGAAACTAAGCTTCACAGCTTAGCTCACCACTGCCAATTTGCATGTTTGTCGGTCTTCAACAGATGGTATTTCCGGGAGTACGCCCATGAGCTTCATAAGCTCATACCGCCATGGAGTACCAGACCTACTGCAGGTTACGATCTACACTTGGTTGATATTCGCACTATGCGCTAGTCTTTTTTCGTAATGCGCACAACCAGGAAGTGAAATGCCCTGCCGGCGTCTGATTTTCTGAGTGCTTATAACCTAAACCTTTTCAAGGTGCATGTTAACAGGCTTTTACTGGCCAAATTAACTGTAAATCAGACTTATGTTTAGAGACTACTTTTCTATGAAGAAGTTTGGCATTATAGAATACTGATTCTATGAAATTTTCTATCCTCCAGTGGAATAAAAAACAGTTAGTCTATAGATATTAATTTATATTCTACGTTCATTACGTACGCCATTTTCATTTGGATGTTGTGTTGATTTTTGGATTTTCTAGTTTTTTATTAGTGTTTAATTATAAAATTGTTATGAAAGATTTTGTGTGAATATAGAATATAAAGTCAATTTTTTTTTGTGAAATATATTTGACCTCTCAAACGCCAAGCATCCAAATTTGACCGCTTCAATATTCGGTCAAAATTCAAGAGGTCATATTTGACCGTACCCACCCACAGCACTTTAACCCATAAATACTTATGTTTAGAGACTACTTTTCTGAGAAGAAGTTTGGCATTATAGAATCAACATGAAATGTTCTATCCTCCAGTGGAAGAAAAAAAACAGTTAGTCTATGGATATTAATTTATATTCCACGTTAATTACGTACGCGATTTTCATTTGGATTTTGTTCTCTTGATTTTTGGATTTTCTAGTGTTTTATTTATGTAAATTAAATGTTATGTAAAGAAGTTTTGTTTTGTTTGTACTTTTAGTATGTTTTTTATATTTGACATAGACCTTTTAAAATATTCACATAAAAATATAATTAAATTGTAATTGTGATATATTATATTAAATAAGTAAATATAATACACAAAATAAATGACAAAATTTAAATCTTGTTCTCGATATAATTTACCTATTTAACAATACAATCTACAATTACTTACGGATCATCCTACTTATGTTTATTCTATGATAAAAAGTACCAACCGCGCGAACACAGAGTAGCGCACGTTTTTTGTTTGAAATAGCTGTTCTAGTACGTAAGTACATATTACTTCAATGGTAAAACCTGAGTTTTGTTTAGAGCACAGGACAGATAATTTTGTATAGATTTTATATTGCCAAAGTTCTTTATAGAAAAGTAGTAAGTAGTTTTAAGTGCTATGGGTGAGTGCGGTCGCATGCGACGGCCCGGGATTTGCCAGGCGCATGGGAATTTTATGGGGATTGAAGGGTTAATTAATTAAAGTATGCACCGTTGTTATCTATGCACTTTTGCCATTTCATAGGTAGTTCATTGATTCCTTTACTAAAAAAAAACATGGGGGAGAAAATTAATAAACTCTTTGAAGGCGGTTTGGACAGCCGCACCCGAGCTGAATTTTTTTCTTGTAAGAAGTTGTCCATATACCGAAAAAAAGGTAATCTGTTGGAGCAAGGTCCGGGGAGTACGGTGGATGTCGCAGACATTCCAATTGTAGCTCATCTAACTTAGTGGTTGTTTGTTGTGCAGTGGCGGTCTTGCGTTGTTGTGAAGCAGCAGTGGCCTAGATTGATTGACTAATCTCGGTTATTTAGCAGCAAGTTCTTCCTTCATGGTTTGCAGTTGCTGACAATAGATATCTGCCGTAATCGTTTGTACAGATTTTAGAAAGCTGTAGTGAAAGACACCGGCGCTAGTCCACCAAACACTCCCAAGTAACTTTTTACCGAGTCAATTTTCGTTTAGGGCAGGATTCGGCTGGGTCTCCAGGGTTCAGCCATTGCGACGAGCGCTTCCGATTATTGTACAGTATCAACTTTTCATCACAAGTAATGATTCAATTTAAAATCCCTTCATTTTTGTGTCGGTGGAGCAAAGTAACACAGCAGTCGACGCGAGTCAAGTTCAATTCACCCAATTCATGAGGTACCCATCGTTCAAGTTTTTTTTCTTTCTCGATTTGCTTCAAGTGGATTAATACAGTTTTATCACTTACCCAGAAGACTTTAGCTATCTCTGAAGTGCTTTGTGATGGATACGCTTCCACAATAGCCTTTAATTCTTTATTTTCCACTTTGGTCCCCGGCTGTTCACGGGGTTGCTTCTGAAGGTCGAAATTTACAGAACGAAAACGTTGAAACCAAAAACGTACCGTGCTTTCTTTTGCAACACCAGCGCCGTACACATCATTAATCCTTCTAGCTGTTTCTACAGCACCGGTGCCACGGTAGAACTACTATTCGTAAATATACCGATATTTCATGTTTTCCATTGTGCGGTAATAAGCGACGCCAAAACAATATAATGAGGAAAAAACAAATGAATGACTGTTTTCAAAACTCAAATGTACTAGCTAAGTGAATTTATAAATTTGAATTTGGAATTCTAAACCGACAAACAAACGACAAAACGCTAATTTCATATATCAGTGCTATTATTTAAAAAGTCAGTTGACTTGATAAAAGTTAAATAATATGTATGATGGTAGTCAACAACAATCAATACAATAAATATAATTAGTAATGAATAATAGAAAATAGAGTAATACAAACCTAATTTCTTCAACATTGTTGATGTAGATAATTAATTTATTGCCTGTGAGAAAAGCTTTTAAGTCATCAAAGGACAGAAGAGTCTTTGAATCGGCTGTGTAATTATTGAGGCAACATTCCAGTGATTGGTAATAGTAAACGCTGAGTTCCGTTGGCAATATCATAAGCTGAAAATAAATAAAGAACTTGATAATTTTTAATAATCAATTATTATTATATCTACCTTCACTCTATCATATACATATAAACATAATACGATGATAATAATAAATAATTACTATAAAAACCTATGCCTTTAAAAATACTGTTGACTATTATGGCATAGGACAACATGGGCCAACGGCGAACCGGAGCGGCCATAGCGTATCGACACAGATCTGCCTGTCATTTTTTGCGAGGCAAAATCTCATCACAAACATCACGAAACAATCCGTGTCACTACGGAACTCATACATAACAATTCAAACAACAAACTAACAATTTCAGAAACACAGATACATTATTATATTACCATTCGGTGACAGAGACAACTCGGATACCAATTCCAATCAGACACTCGACTGATCTGCATATACGACTAGTATGAGGGCCAGTGGCTTGTGTTGGTAAAAAATTCAGAAACAACATGACTGTCATTATTGTAATTTTTTATTTTAGAAAGATGGAAATAGCAATAATGTGATTGAAAATTACTTATATACGAAAGGTATTTTTGCAGAACATCGATCCAGCCGCGCATAAATATTTAGTCCAGTGAGCAGTGCGGCTGCAACTAGTTTTATTGCACGCATAGGACCCCGTGGACTTGTACTTTGTCAGAGGGAAACACCTGCGTATGGCTACACCTCTCCGGTCCGCCGTTGCTCCATGTTGTTGTATGATTATTGGTTATAAATTTAATAGGGTTACCCCTTTGCCTTCATATATATATATATATATATATGACGAGAGTTATGCTTAATTACTAATTTCGTAATTTATTATATTTGAATTTACTCAAATTAAATTAAGGAACAAAAGTACTAAAATAAAATTTTGTCCTTGATTTACCATCTCCAACGACTTACTTTCATTTTGGTTCTATGTTTGGGGAAGCAAAAGTAAAATAAACGTTATTACTAACATTTTCTAAAGAGGTAGTGATGGTATTGCCGTAATCAGGCAACACAGCCTGAATGTTATTCATGTCCGATATATCGTTTAGTATTGCGCGATATATTTTTCCCTCGTGTTTCAAAGTGCAGTGGATGCCTTCAGTAAGACTGTCTGCTCCGAGTGGAGTAAGCTAGAATGAAACAAAATGTATAAATAAGAGTGATAGAAGTCATTTTAAAAACAAAAAATGAAATAACATTGACTGAGAGAGGAAGCTACTGTCACTAAATCCGCCCTTAGGTAAGGTCATAGAATACTATGATACATACATAATAGAACGAAGGAGTAGGCGGAGCCCGTGTAACCACTAACATGTCACTAACACGTCAATTTACACGTATAAATGTCAACACAATCAATCGTTTCCAATTTTCGTGTCGAAAGAACAGCGGGAAATGGAATTTACTAAAGGAGACGTATTCTACAACCAGTAAGTCGAAACTATTTATATTTTGTAAATATTAGAAACAAAAATAAAGGAACATTTATGTGTCAAAAACATCAACCAAGTCTAAAATGTGTTTGTAGTAGTGATAACTGATAATACGAGGTAATTGCTTGTATGTGTGCTCCCGGCGACGCCAATCCTCCTACAAAGTAAGGTTGACAGCCATTCTATTGTGTGTTATAGTATTCTATGGGTAAGGTGATAACAAAATGTGTAAAAAAAACTCTGTGATTCAGATAACCATTGTTTGTATATTTGTGTCTCGTTGGTTTTAAATTATAGTTATATGACTAGACAAAAAGACTGACAAGCTAATAAAAACTTGTATTATAATAGATATAGGCTGCGTGGCGTGGCGCTGCAGCATTGCTCTACCACGTTTGTATACGTGGTAGAGCAACGCTGTAGCTATATTATGTTTGTAGCACAAATGGGTTGGCTCGACCGGGGAAGGACCACGCTCTCACAGAATACCAGCGTAAAATAGCAGCTTAATGCTGCTGGGTTTCGTATGGTGAGTGTAGAGAACCGGAGACCCTTTTTTACTGGAAACGAGGCATTTCATCTTAGTCCTCAGGGGTGACAACGCATCTGCGTTTGGATTCTTAACCGAGGATAAATATAGACGTCAATGGGCCACAGCATCCACTTACCATCAGGTGGACTGTGTGCTCATTTGTCACCCTTATTGTATATAAAAAAAGATTTTCTTAACATTCGAAACACATATAGAAAACTTCTTCTTTTTTTAATTTATAGTTAGGATGGTGGAGTAATACCAGTACCAGTTTATCCGTAAGATATAAAATGTTACAGTTGTTAAAAACTTTTTGCAACACAAAAATTATTAAGTTGACAAAGGACAATTCAGTGACAATTGTTACTAGGTGGTAGGACTTGGTGCTGCACTAGATGGTAAGACTTGTTTTCTGTCAAGAAGTCCGTCAGACTTAGTACTATTTTTCAGTTTGAAAGATAAGGGCACTAAGAAAATTAAATTTACAATTACACAATTATAACTTTTATTGTGTAAAGTTAAATGCAAGTGTTCATGAACTGCAGTCGTAATTAAAACCAGGTGAACAACAATGTTTCAATGAAACATCTTATAGTGGCGGCGAAAGCGAATCCATTAACCTGTATAGTACATATCCCGTGGGTGTCATAAGAGGCGATAGAGGAAAAGAAGCAGGCAGCTGGGCAGCAGCATCTTCCCGTACCAACTCAAAATTATTAAAAACTGCAGTTGCACACTCGCCTGCTAATCGTGGCAACTATGGCTGATATCCCCCTTTAAATGGGGAAGGACTCTGTTCAGCAGTTGAATATTGAGATTCTATTATAAATTAGTTAACTAACTAATATAATAACAATAATAATGTCCTCCAGACCGAATTTCGGTCACGGCGGCCTGCCTCAGCGAAGGCTAGCCATTGGCGTAGGACCGGATTATAGTGCCCAAGTGTATGCGCAAGCACAGGTGCATTCTCTATTCCCTCACTCTCGTAATCCGATGGGACGGTAAACCGACACGACCGGAGAGAGATCAGGCACAGGACCAACGGCTTTACGTGCTTTCCGAGGCACGGGGGTGAGACACCGCCAACTTTCTGACTATGGGCAGCTACTGAGAACTTCTTAACAGAAAAACTCAAATTTTTTTTGCTCGAACTGGGATTCGAACCCAGGACCTCATGATCAGCAGTCGCACTACCACAACCACTAGACCAACGAGACAGTCAAATAACTAATACGATAAATATAGATATATATATAACTATACTAACTTTTTGAGCATCGAAGTTCGCGATAGCACTTTCGACAAGCGATGCTTTATCCAAATCTAGTTGAATGAAGAATTTGTCGAACGACTCGACATGAGTCACCCGGCACAGAATCTGTTGGCCTATGATTATTGTGAGATCGATTGCTTCATCTGCAACAAAACACTATCTTGTAAATAATGCTTTTTAAATATCTAATCTTATTTTTTACATTTCGTACCCACTAAAATAAGTACACTATTTCTTTAATTAAATATATTTTAATTACTTTGGAACCTTATCTTTATGGCCAAGTGCTAATGCTGGGCAGAGGCCTCCTTCTATTTCTGAAAGGATTATGAGGGAAGGAAAAATCCACAGCCCTATTTAATGGGGGAATTAACGGGTGTCACATATGCTTGAAATATTTTTTAAATTCTCAAGTATTCAGGTTTCTTCATTCTAAGCTGCTATTTAAACTGTTGCTCCTTGCGTACTATGAAATATAATGTGTTACAACAGCTCATAATTTTGTGCTTGTTTAGTTTTTTTTTTAATTTTTTGTATATTATAGTCTGTGAGCAAAATCACATAACGCTTACAAACACATTAAAAATAATTATTCAATATTGGGACCATTATCAATATGGTAATCTTTCCCCATGAGAATTTGGCCTATAATCATGCTAAGCGGCTGAATTAGTAGATACAGAAGTCTAATTTTATTAAACTTGATGCTTATATTTGTCGATGGGGTCTGGATGTATTAGGCCTAGCATATTAGATACAGTTTTCTATTGTATGTCAGATAACTCAATCTCATTCTCATCCGGCCGATTAAAACTAGATATTTTTGAGGTTTCCCCTTAAGAGTTTCCTCATAAGTACGACAGCGATGCAACAACGGTCAACATACATAGATAACGTGACCATACGTCCCACTTTAGGCAGGATGGTTCCATTTTAAAGGTTTGTATCCCGCTGTCTCCAAAATACGTAAAAATGTCCCACTTTGGTAAACAAAAGCGTATCATCATGCAAACTTTGTCATCCGTGCCATCATTACGATACTACTACGACTAGTTACGTGATTATTCTGAAAACCTACACTTTAGAACTTAAAGTTACGAAGTGAGAATTTTTAATTAATCTACAATAAATTATCAAATAACATAAGTTATTTCTAATTAGTATTTATTTGCTGTTCAAAAAAAAAATTAAAAAGCCAGCAGCCAGATTTTATATTATTCTAAGTTCTTATTCTCACTTTTGATCATTAAAAGATTCAAACAACTATGTGTTTTATTTTCAAAACTATAGTAAAGGGTTCCAGATTGAATTTTGGTAACGGCGGCCATTCTCAACAGAGAATAGCAATCTGCGCAGGACAGGATTATATTACTCAAGTGTATGCACAAGCACAGGTCTACCCTACTCACTCACACTTATCGTCCGATGGCACGGTAATCCGAGACGACGGGAGAGAGATCAGGCGCAGGACCAACGACTTTACGTGCTTCCGGAGGCACGGTGGTGAAACCCCACCAACTTCAGTAAATTCGAAATCAATATTCCGGGCTGCTACTGAGAATTTTGTGACAGAAAAACTCAATCAATGATTTTTGGCCTGACTCGGGTTTCGAACCCGTGACATGATCAGCAATTGCGTTTACGACCATTAGACCAAGAAGACAGTCAAAAGTGTCAAAACTATAATAATTTTAAAGGTGTCCCGCTTTGAGGAAAAAAATAAATGGTCACTTTATACATAGACGATGTAGAGTGCATGAGAAGCCAGTTCATTTGGGTCAAATATCTAGATTTTATAGATTAAATTAAGTCAATATGCACAGCGTTAGAATTCTTTATACATTAAAGAGTTTGAAAATGATACAAACACGTATCATTTTTGTTGCAATTGATACGGTGATCAGGTCGAAGTGATACTGATTTAGGTCTGTTTGATGTTTCTTCAGACAAACATGAAACGGCCAAAACAAAACAAAAAAAGATCATAAGCCTCCAAAATAGTCACAACGATTGAGTCAAACAGTAATATTTTAGTTTGATTAGAACCATGTTCGTTATGCTACATGAGTTTAACAGGTTTCTTAAAGATTCACGAGTTCGTAGAATGTTCGATGCAAATACATGTTTTTATTGTGATGTTTCACAATGTATTAGCTAGCTCAGTCTTGCGTAACGCGTTCGTAATGTGTTACAAACCTGACTAATTGTATTACAAATCTGCCTACTTTCTATTAATCACATGTTGTTCATTTTGATAAATAGAACATATGAGGTAGGTATTCGATGCAGCAAGTGGATCAACAATGATCTAGTTTAGTTCTTGCATTTTCAAATTTGAAAAAATGACATGAAACTGATTGATCAAAAACGTATCGTTTGAACAAACAGTTAGCTTGCCTATGGGGGTTTTTAACAAAAGCGATTCCTTTGTCATTCATAATTTGACGTAACACGTCAGTTGTAAGTCTGGTTCTCAACATATCTTCTTTTGAGATTTAATTTCTGTTACTTTTATCATTATTTCAATATTACGATATACTATGGTGTACTGATAGCCCCCTGTGCAGGGCATGCATGGAAGAGGAAGAAGCGGCGGCTCACGTGTTGCTGACATGTCCAGAAGTCGCTTCATACAGGGCTAATCATCTCGGCACGCCGGGATCACTCCCCAAAGTTGCTTGCAACATCAAAGGACTGTTGAACTTCTTCGGGGAAATATCATGGCTCGAATAACTACATTATTCCTACCCACACGCAAACTACGCGCTTAGACTTGGAGTTGCGGAAAACAGCCCATCGTAAACTAAACTAAAAAAACCGAATTACGATATACTGAGAAATTACGAAAATATGATGAAAATTATGCAATGCAATGCACATGGTACATGGTACCATGTTATGTGCAGTGCAATGGCACCTATATTGTGGTTGCAGCACGATTGGATCAGCTCGATTGGGGAAGAACAGCATCCACTTAATATCAGGTGGACTGTGTGCTTGTTGTCACCCTTATATTTATATATATATATATATATATATATATATATATATATATATATATATATATATATAATTCTTCTGTCCGTGTGTATGTGATTGGACTTCTCCTAAACGATTGGACCGAATCTGATACGATTTTGTGTGTGACTAAGTTTATTCGAGAATGGTTTAAATTCACAAACGAACCCGGTAGCTGACGCTGTTATCGAGATCCAGAAATCACTCGTGCAAATTCGGGGTGAAAAAACTCCTTACGACAATAAGTTAATTTTGGCTTAGAAAGTAGAAAAATCCTATACATTTTTTTATTATTACTAATCAGTGCTCGATTTTATTTCTACATGGCAGTAAGTATGGTAATTTTGTATGAATGCCTCCAAAATATCACGGCTAAAAATCACGTCGTTTTCACTATTATTGCGAATAACAAATCGACATCAACAGTTGCCTCCATTTCACTGACTGACACTGAGAAAAATGACTTAGTCAATTGTTGAGTCACCAAAGTGGCAAAATGGTTTGATAGATTTGTTTAAAGGCAAAAAAGCCCCAACATCGGATGCTTTATGTATTTCGTTTTCTGAAATATTTATATATAATTAAAACAATACCTTTCAATGTGACAGACGACTGATGTTCGGAGAGAACTGCCAACTGCTTCTCAACCAGCGTGTCGGCGACACTGACTCCGTTGTTCCATAACGAAACTTTGTGTTGGCCAACCTGACAATCTGTAAAGACACATTGGTAGCGGGGTGCGTTAAAGCACAGGTCTATTTCAGGGTCAGCCTTCCATTCCCCATCCTTAGGCGCTACTCCAACTAGCGCACAATGGACGGCCATTTTCGGCAAATCCAACAGCTGTCTATCCAACTGCCAGATATCCTTAGCATCTACTAACTGTTTGTTTCCAAAATCAACGTAGCGAACTATGAATTTGGAGAATGGCTGGACGGATACTACCGTGGCTCTATACAAAACGCCATCAGCTGGGTACCGAGCCAACACCGAAGCTCCCACTGGTACAATTCCACTGTAAGATTTCACGCCTTTGTATAGTTCAGGTATCGAATGCATCATTTCTAGAAACTTAGGTTGGCAGGATAGGATTTGAGTGTAGAAGTTCTCGGGCGATATGATCCACGTGACCGACACTTCGTGCTGAGCGTTCAGTTCAATTGAGGGGTCTGTGAATGGCGTGTCTAATGGCACGGGGTCGGGCAACTCTTTGTATTGGACTTGGGTGAATTTGCTGCGACTTTTGTATGGCGGCGCACGACCGGCGTTATCTCTACTATTGTCTTGGGAGTGGAAGCTTCTGTCCGATTTCTTGTCACTGTCTGGGCCATATCGATCCGATCTTTCGACTCGATCCCTCGGAGTGAAATTGCTTCTAGTTCGTTCGCCTCTTTCTGGCCTGTCTTGTCTATTATCCCGAAACTCTCTTTTCTGGTTCCAATTCTCTTTTTTATCGCCCCAGTTATCTCTTCTGTCGCCGCGATAGTCGCGTCGGTTCTCTCCAGGCTTATTTCCCCTGTCATCGTTTTGTTCCCAATCGTCTTGCTTGTATTTATTATCCCTGTAAAAACAGTTATGTTGCGGATGAATAAATTGCATTGAAAATCGTGAATTAGTACGGCGTGAACACTTTCACTTAAAATTGCATAAGTGAAAGTTGCACAGTGAATCATACTTTGTAAATTCGTCAACACGAAATGAATTTAAGCGAACCATTAATAGAAACATTTTCTTTTAGATAGACGTTATTAACGTAATTCAGTTTCTTTGTTACAGAAATATCAATCCTTTATATAACAAAAAGTTACCGGAGCAATCACAACTCATATCGAGTTGTGATTGCTCCGGTAACTTTTAAAGCAAATTATAAACATTGCAGACTTGGAAATTGTTGCGGTATTATTAATTTGTAACTTTAAATTATGGGATGGCAATTAATTTACAAAAATAGTAATCGACATCTATTTAACGTCTAAATGACGTCATAAAGTGTGCAAAATGAATTAGGCCCATTTATGAGCCATAGTAGCTCATAAAAAAAAAACTATATTTTTAACAGACTTGAAGAAAAGTATCCACTCAATACGACTGTGTTTTTTTATGTGTTACCTCAGAACTTTTTCCTATTTGAACCGATATTGAAAAGATTTGTTTTATTTGTGTTGGCGACGCGCCTATAAAAATGTTTCAGTTTATTAAATCAACCGATGACGTTGCTATGAAAAAAGGGGCAGTCACGAGCAACGACGCTCTGATAAGAGAATGCTTAGTTAAATCTTTAAGAAATGTCGAATTAATGATATGAAGGTCTTGGGTTCGACTCCCAGGCCGGACTAGTTTGTTTGTTTTCCTAAGTAATATCGCTTAATAAATTCGTAAGGAATTTAAGATATAAATTATGTTACCGGATTTGTTCCCCGGTTGAAATCATCTTTCAAATGATGTAAATTCATAAGAATATTAAAGTGAAGTTAAAGATCGGATTTGTTCCCCGGTCGAGATAATCACTCTGTGCATAGGCAGAATTAATGGATATTAATTGCATAAATGTTGTTTTGTATAAGTTTGATACGTTTTGTACGAAAACAAATGCCTATTTGTTATGATTGATTAATGAGAACATTCATTTATATTGTTATCTGATTAAAGATAGTTTCATACAGTTCGAAAATTGTATAAAAGCATTTAATTTGCCTAATATGGTCAAAATTGGTGTATTTCATAATTTAATTTTTTCTGATAGCCGAGAGCCGTGCAAAGTTAGTTGTTCACATAGCGTGAGTACACAGAAGCACGCTGGCCACGCCCTTAGGAGGCCGAATATGTAAAAATTTAAAATGTTTGTAATTCAGTGATTTATGTAAAAATTACTTGTAAAATATTTCAGGTTAATTGTACGTGCTAAAAAGGTAAATTCTGTGTTATTTTCATGTGAAAATTCCTGTGTATAAGTGAAATAATGATAGTTTTGTATAAGAAATTTAAAAGTGTTTTAAATAGTGAAATAAATAGAAAAAATGTAAATTAAACTATTGTATTGGTTAGCTTATGTATAAATTCAAGTGAGAAACATTGTTTTAACTTTCTGTGTTAAATATTTAAGAAATTTCGATTTCGAACTTGTGAGTAAAATAGGCAGTTTTCGTTTAATAAATAAAAGGTTTTTTATGATATGAAGATATGATGTATATCATGGTGTAGATATTGTTTTGTACTACCTATATTGATAAATTGTATTTGTATATGATTTGAATAAATAAAGATATTGAGTGAAACGTGAGAGAGTAATAGTACAAATTCATGTAATTAAGTTGCGCAAGCGCGCAGATGGCGCGGCTCACTTTCGCGTATAGCTCTGGGGTAGCTTAGTGAACGGGTTTTATTGCAATTCGTTCGGGAATCGTTCGGAAAGTTCGGGAATCCTTCGGGGAAGTTCGGAAATAGTTCGGAAATAAATAAGAAAATCCGAGGAAAAGTTCAAGAAAAGTGAAAAACCAGCAGTATAGGGAAAAGTGATTACTCTCTCACGGAACGGTTTGAAGATAATTGCTGTTTCATTCCCAAGATCCTTTAAGTTATACAGTCCACATCGAAGAATTAAGGCGTCGGGACCGGGACGACTTCGGAAGACCCGTAATCCCCGTCTGAACCTACTTGCTGAAAAGGAAGAGGTTATCGCCCTAGTGTGTTACTCCGTTGCGGAGATCACATACGTTGTTCCCGAACCCAACGTAGGCGTGATAGGAGGCCGGATCGAGAGAAGCCTCGATTCCTGTTTCTTAGTACCCGATCCGCTAGGTCCTTTTCAATTGGTCCTTTTCAGGATTGAGAGGACGCCCGAACCTGAGTTCCTTTTCAATTGGTCCTTCGGAGCCGGATTGAAGACCACCCGAACCCCGCCAGCTGGATCAAGGAACCAGCTGTGGACTGCTGGTTGTGGAAGAAGAAGACCTTCGGAAGCCGAGTGAAGATCAGCAACCGAAGGAAGCCAGAGGTTTGAGCTGAAGCAATAGGACCAAAGGCCTGAAGACCAGGACGGCAGCACTGAAGGGCTGGACCTGGAACTACCGGAAGAAAGAAAACCGGGATTGCAGCTTGGGGCGTGTGCTCGCATGGGGCACATATCGCAGCCGGGCGCAGGTGTCTTGTGAAGGCACTCATCGTGGCCAAGCAGGGCTTGGCATTTTTCCTGTCGGGCAAGCGTGCTCGGCATTTCCCGTCAGACGATCGTGTCTGGCATTTCCTGTCGGACGACCGTGTCCGGCATTTCCCGTCGGGTCATCAGGGTGCAAAAAGCATCCACCGCTGCTGCTGCCGGGCGAGGGTGCGCGTGGGCACCTGACTGCATCGCGGCCGGAGGAGGGCGCTTGGACGAGGCGTCACCGGCAACTGGGCGGCGAGCACAGCATACATCCCGACCACCTAACGGTGCCAAACGGTTGGGCTCTGGCATAACACCTTCGGGTGGAGCAGTTCTCTCGAGCGAGACTGCGCTTGCACTACCGCTCGACTGTTTCGTCATATTCCTTGGCGGGACAGTTCCTAAACCTTTCCTCCATTCCATTCCTGCACGACTCCATCCCTGGACGGCTCACCTCGGTAGGCCCCGTTCAGGATTGATAGGGCTGATAGGGCTGTTAGGGTGGTAGTAGGGTTGTAGGGTTGGGAGATAAAGGGGGGGAGGGGTAGTGGTGTTAGGTTGGGGTGTAGAAGGGTTGTAGGTAAGGGGTTGTAGGGACCATGTAGGGACAGTTAGGGACCGTAGGCCAACAATCACCTTCCTGCAAGATGAAGAAGGCACAAGACCAGACAGGGAGAAGCGAAGGGAGCAGGACAAGGACAGGGCTCTCAAGAAAAGCTAAAGAAGCGGAATCATCTGGAGCGACCACAGCTACTGCGTCAAATGGAGCAACTCCTCCAAGTGGAGCCACCACAGACACGTCCACATGCACGTGGGACTCAGGGACGTCCATGGCAACGACGAGCAACAGGACGGACACCAGTGGTACACAGGCCAGCACCGCACAACAATCCGTTATATCCAGGAGTGAAACGGTGGTCGAAAAAGTAGGTCAAAGGACCGAAGAAGCGGCATCGTCAAGGACAGTAATCGGGCACACTAGTGATAAAGGGTCACAGAGAGGTAGTAGGTCATCGCGATCGGCGAGGCTGAAAGCCGAATTAGAGGCGCGGATTAAATTCGAACGCTCAGAGCTCGAACGAGCACAGGCAGCTGCTGCCTTAGCCAAGTCTCAATTGGAGTTGGCACGACTCAACCGAGAAGAGGAAATCGACTCGAGTGAGGATGATGAAGAGCGGAATACTCAGGTGGAACCTTTCGTAAGGAGTTGGGTTCAGCAAACCATAATGAGCGCGCCGGTTAGTGTAGCACAACCCGATATTACTGATAAGGAAGCGTGTAAAGGATCACGCCGCAAAGGGGCGGAGGTCGAGCGCAACCTAGGAAATGCACAGAAAACACACGCGAGTGAGGTGTCAGAATTGACCGAAGCGATTGTGAGTGCAATAAAAATAGCTGGTAAAGATAAATCTTCCCAGCTTCATTTCCTCCAGGAATTACCGGTGTTCGATGGAGACCCGGGTGAATGGATAATTTTCAAAACGGTGTTTGAAGACACAAAAGGCCAATTTTCAGGGGTGCAAAATGTCGCACGCCTTAGGAGGGCATTAAAGGGCACCGCTAAAGAGGCGGTTAAGTCGCTGTTATTTACTTTATGTGAACCTGAAGAAATAATGAACGCTCTCGAAAGAAGATTCGGTAGGGTTGAGATGCTCATTCTAGCCGAAATCGAGAATGTAAAGCGTATGCCAAGATTGGCAGAAGATTGCCGAAATATAGGATCTTTTGCAAGTCGTATTACGAACGTGGTTGCCACAATACAAGCGTTGAATCAACCACAGTATTTATACTCACCGGAGTTAGTGAGCCGCATAGTGGAGAAACTTGGAACTATGATTAAATTTAAATGGTTTGAATATCGAGCTCAATATCCTTTGGAGCCAGAGTTACAGAAGATGGCCAAGTTTTTAAATTTATTGAGTGAACAATTTGGAACGTCCTTAAGCAAGGAAAATGCGCCTGAAAAAAGGAAGCGTCCTGAATTCAGGAAGCAAACTGTACACACTGCAAAGGGAGGTGTACGCAGCTGTGCCGAGAGCGAGCGCTATATGCGCCGAAGTAATATGAGCGAGCGTTTAGAACGCCGAAATAATAAAAGGCACAACCGACAAGTGGATATGATAACCCAGGACAAGCCTGTAAGTCGGGTAACACATAAGTGTGTTATATGCAACAAGGAGCACTCTATAGTGAGTTGTTACAAGTTTAAGGACATGAATATTCGCGAGAAATGGGAAGCCGTCAAAAAGGCCAAAGTATGTTTCCAATGTTTGTCACCTAACCATAGGAGGTTAGAGTGCAAAGCGAAAAAATGTGGTGTAGAAGGATGTAGAATGTCACATCATCGAATGCTACACCGATACCCCAAAGAAAATACCTCGCCACAAGGGGACGAGGGGGGTAAAGATGCTCAGATTACA